ACGCAGCTTCGGATCCTGCCAGTCGCCAAGCACGCATACATCGGTGCCCTTTTCCTTAACTCAAAGGGCGCATGCCAGACTTGGTTGACCCATCTGGCAGCCACTCACGGCGTCGACGTGGTAGATCTTCGAGACAAGATCACATGGGAGGAGTTGACACGGTTGTGGAAGAAGAGGTTCATCATCGACGACGCGCTTGCCCTCGCCATCAACCGCCTCTTCACCATGACCCAAGGCAACACGGCAACACGAGACTGACTCACGGAATGGCAAAAGATCGCGGCAACGCCGGATCTGGACTTGCCATTTACGCATCTGCACCGAGAGTTCTACAATAGGTTATGTGCTGCACTGAGCCAGACACTTGGTGATCGCGAGCAGTACTCAACCTTCGCTGAGATCATCGACAAAGCGAGGGAGATCATGAAGACTAATAGGGCGGCTGCACACGAGAAATCAGCATGGCAGCCAACCTATGTGGAGAAGGTAAAGACTGGTCCGCGGCAGCAACATTTCGCTGCAGTCCAATCGGACAGTGGAGACGACCCGGCAGCCACCAAGGCATCAAGTGAAGGAGATCAGGTGGCTGCTGTCCAGCCGAGAAGCACCAACAAGTCCCGGAACAATGGGAAGGCGAAGACCGCATCATCGGTTGGAACAGGACAGCCAGCGCCATGGGTCAAGTTTAACTTGACCGAGGCCGAATACAAGTATCGTGGTCGGTACGGCTGCTGCTACTGGTGCAATAGCACCAAGCACAAGACCTCCCTCTGCCAGGACAAGGAGAAGGAGGATGTTCGGCCTCGCAACAACTCGGGAAACTGAGTAGCGCGGGAGGTGAGGCGACTTCACCTCCCACTCCGCAAGATCCGGCCGCCTTGCTAGCGGCCTCCTACACATCTGGGGAGGATGCGAATGTCGCAAGTTCTCGTGTCACTTACGAGGACTATGTTGTCCACTTGGTCCCACCGCTGGACCAACCACTCCACGTGCAACACTCCACCGCATGCATGGTTTCATCTCCATCGGCAACCGATTCGGCAGTTCCGCCATCATTTAGCTCAGGGGATTCGTCGATGTGGTCAAGACTTGAAGAGCTTGACCCGTTGATAGTCGCGGACTTCCAGTGGATGCCCGTTCCCCCGACCGGTCGATTGTCGAAACCGCATTACAATCTGCTAATGGCACAATTGCGGGAGTATTTGCACACTGCAATACCAACTCCGTTGATGGACGCCGGAGTGGAGGTTGTCGACCTTTAGGAGTACATCGTGAAGATCGACCGCGAGTTCAAGACACAACGGTACGACGACATTGACGCACCATTGTTGTATGTACGCATTCAGATCGGAGAGGCGACCTGCAGCGCCTTGATCGATTGCGGTGCAACTCGCAACTACATGAGTCAGGACTTCATGGTACGCGCCGGCCTTGGCCCACGCGTCAGGAGGAAGTCCCATCCGACACACGTGACGTTGGCCGATGTTCACACGCACAAGTCAATTGACCGGTGCATTGACAACGTCCCTGTGTATTTCGCCCCGCATGCACGCGAGGCCGTGTCCTTCGACATTCTGAACACTAAGTTCGACATGATTTTGGGCATGTCATGGCTGCGAAGTGAGGACCACCCGGTGAACTTCTACCGCCAGCCTTTCTCCAGAAGGTCGTCGAGTTGTGCCCGTAGTACACTCAACTCTTCCTCGCTCATTCGGTAGATGCAACCACGTGGAGGTACAGCCCCGTCTTCGAGGATGATCTCGTGGCGGATAGGCCGATCCGGTACTACTCCGTGCGGGGCCTCGAACACGTCACTATAAGTGGCGAGAAGCTCAGTGATGCGTGGGTCCGATGATGCGTCCGTCAATGGGGTGTCCTGGGGCGGGAGGGCGTGGAGAAAACACACCCCCATCTCCTCAATGTCATCCTTGGTGATGGAACCTCGAATACTTGTGGCGGACACCACGTGACAGCTGATCGATGGTTATGCCGTTTGGCCTTACGAATGCCCCAACCACATTCCAGGCGGCTATGACATTGGAGTTTCGACACATGCTGGATCGTTTCGTACTCATCTACCTCGACGACATCTTGGTGTACCACCAACACCACGGACGTTCGTTCATTCATGGGGTTGGCAGGCTATTATCAGCGTTTCATCACCGGATACTCAAGGATTGTTGCACCTCTGACGAGACTACAATCGCCAAAGGTGCCATTCGTATTCGATGACGACGCGCGCCAGGCTTTCCAAGCACTCAAGACGGCCATACTCATGGCACTCGTCCTTAGCATCTACGACCCCACTCTGCCTACGAGAGTGACGACTGACGCTTCCCGTTACGGCATTGGGGCAGTCTTGGAGCAGCACGACGGCGAGGATTGGCACCCTGTGGAGTATTTCAGCCACAAAGTGCCTCCCATCAATTCTTTGGATGATGCMAGGAAGAAGGAGYTGCTTGCGTTCGTCATGGCTCTCAAGCGATGGCGGCACTTCCTTCTTGGGCGTCGTAGGTTCACATGGGTCACGGACAATAACCCATTGACCTACTACAAGACGCAGGACACGGTGAGCAGCACGATTGGACGGTGGATGTACTTCATCGACCAGTTTGACTTCACACCGAAACACGTTAACGGCCTTTCCAATCGCGCAGCAGATGCACTTTCACGACGACCTGATCTTTGCGCTATGATGCATCACGCCTTCGCGTTCGACGAGGACCTCCAGCGACACTTCATCAGGGGCTATCAGTCTGACCCAGAGTTTGCTACGTTGTATGCGCAACTATCTTCGGATCACCCGCCGGCCAGCCACTATCGCATTGCCAATGGGTACTTGCTCCTCCACTCGAGAGGCAAGGACTTACTGTGTGTCCCACGCGACCGCCGTCTTCGGACTCGCCTTCTCGGTGAGTATCATGATTCGCGACTCGCTGGCCATTTCGGAGTCAATCGCACGATTGTACGACTTCGACAACGATTCCGATGGCCCGACCTCATTTCCGATGTCATGCGGTATTGCGATTCTTGCGAAGTTTGCCGACGCAGCAAACCCCGCAACCGCAATCCCTATGGCGAGTTACGCCSGATGCCTATMCCCCGGGAACCCGGTATCTCCAWTGCTATGGATGTCACCGGTCCATTTCCTCGAGACCGGCTCGGGCACGACGGCATCCTCACGGTTGTGGACCGATTGAGCAAGTACGCACGTTTTCTTCCTTGCAAGTACTACTCCACGGCTCCCGAGCTGGCACGCCTCTTGCACACCGGTTGGATTTGTGGCCACGGCGTACCCGAGGACATAGTCATCGACCGCGACACTCGTTTCATGTCGACTTTTTGGACCTCTCTCATGCAGGAGTCTGGCACGACGATGAAACCCAGTTCGGCTCGGCATCCACAGACAGACGGGCAAACGGAGCGGGCACATCAAACCGCTCAAATGATGCTTCGTACGCTCATCCGTCCGGACCAGAAAGATTGGGTTGACCGCCTCCCCGACATCGAGTTCGCCTACAACACTTCAGTGCACCCGGCGATTGGTGTGACTCCATTCGAGTTGCACCACGGTGGACGGAAAGGCCGTATCTTCGCTGATCTTCTCCTCCCTCGACCAGGCGACATTAACGCCGCTTGCTCTCCCGCTTCCGTCCGGAAGTACAGGGAATTGCTGGCTCAAGCCCGCACAAACATGCAAAAGGCTCAAGTCCGCATGCAGCAGCAAGCCAACAGGCGCCGCGTACCATGTCCCATCCGCGCCGGAGACTGAGTTTGGGTCTCCTCGGAAGAGTTTGCATTGGAACAGGATGTCTCACGCAAACTACTCCCTAAGTGGTTTGGACCATGGACAGTGACATCAGCCGCGGGCGATGAGCCCGATGACCCTTCATTTGTGATCGACATTTCTGAGCATCTGACGGTCCATCCAGTCTTTCATGCGTCAAAGCTGGCAACATATACACCAGCTAAGAGCGATGACTTCCCGGGCCGACGATCGCAGGACCCTCCTTCTATGGATGGTCATCAGGAGGTTGACCGCGTCATCTCAGATCGCAAGTATGGCAGCAAGCCGCGCCAGTACAAAGTTACATTCAGAGCATGCGATCCCGACGATACTCGGTGGATTTCAGGAGCAGATTTGAAAGCGTCTGCACCGCTGATCTACGCTCACTACGAGCAACAGAGGTTAGCCAAGGGACCTCCACGACCTGCCCCTCCCACCCGGACTGTGGTCCCTCCCTTAGACAGACAGCTTCGCCCTCGTAGGTAAGCTCGGTTTTTCAAGGAGGGGGGGGTGTGGCATACTGTGCAGCCACACGGGCCCTGCAGGGCCCGTCCCGGACCTCTAGCCTGTTTCCCTACAGGGAAACTTCCAGGCTCTTGCCTGGAAGCTTCCTTCTGACAGGGCTACAGGCCCCAGCCTGTTTCCCTACAGGGAAACTTCCAGACTCTTGCCTGGAAGCTTCCTTTTGACAGGGCCTACAGGCCCCAGCCTGTTTCCCTACAGGGAAACTTCAGGGAACTTCCAGGCTCTTGCCTGGAAGCTTCTGCAGGGTCTAGGCCAGGGAGGCATTGGCACGGCCAGCCTCCTGCACGGGCCAGCGCTATAAAGGACTGGCCCGCCCTGCAGGAGGTAGTAGTCAATAGGCACTTGTAGTCTTCAGGATTTCAGCCGCAACACTCAGGAGGAGCGCTGCAGTAGTCTTCAGCGCTAGGCAGTAGTGGTAGCGCTAGGAGTAGTCTTCGGCGTTGGGCGCCATAGCCATAGTGGTCGTCTTCAGCGCTAGGCGCTATAGGGCAGGGTAGCAGTATCGGAGAGAGACACTGGCGGAGGCCAGTGGTACTTACCTGTGGCACCATCGCTTCAGCTCCATCCTCGGTGTACCTGCATCAAGACGCCAGTTTTTACAGGTTAGTATTGGACTGAGAGAGAGAGAGAAAGAGACCTTCTTCTTCCTCTTCTAAGTCCACCATCTCTTCTTCCCGTCCCGCTGCCTGCCTCTCAGCATCTATGGGCTACGAGATGGAGCTTTTGACATGGGACCTGACGACATTGTCATCAGACTTGATTCCGGGATACAGACATTCGTTGAGGATTATTTGGGACCTGTGACGCAGACTTGGAGTTGATGATATCTCCCATCTTCTCCTCTCCCTCTGTCTCTTCCCTTCCCCCTTCGTCTGTGTATGTTGGGGTCTGGCGCTATCTATTCTGTGTGAGCGTCAGCCCTTCACACCACTGTATGATGATGATAAATGTCGGGACTGTACTGCAACATTGATTGAGTCGGATCATTGATAAGTCTTCCGCTCGCCATCTTGTACTTTGAAATGAAAGGTCGGTCCTTGTTCTGTTTTGCATGATCTAGTATGCAACAGAGA